CCGCAACGGGAGAGGCCACAACAGTGAGGGGCCCGTGTCCCCCCCCCCCCAAAACATATCCACACCCCCTCTTCACATGCTCCCCCTCAGCAGTAGGGTAATTAGAGATGAATGATAAATGTTTGTTGAGTGAATGAGAGTCCCTCTATCCAAAGAAGTCACAATCTAGAATTCATTCACTCATTTATCTTCCCATTAATTGATTCTTCATTCAGCACCAAGCATTAATTGCCTAGAAGGTTACCATAAGAAAGGGCCTATTCTTCCTCTGTTGACCTAAACTCAGAAGACAAACCCAGGCCAAACGATTTGCCCAGGTCCACACAGAGCATAGCTCTGGGGCTGGAACTAACATTTGGGTTCTGTGGCCCAGTTGAGGCCTCCTGAGGCTTTGTCATGTAGTAGCCCTTGTCATGGGTCACAAAACGCTCATGTAAAGGGACCAGCAAGCATGCCCCGAAGGGAATTGAATCATTCAGGTTTGCCAGGTCCAGGGCTGGAAGCATTACAGCCTCTTGTTCCATCAATGCTTGTAAATAACCCTAAATCAGCTCAGACAAAGGCTGCTACCCCAAGTCCTCCAATAAACCCAAACATGTGGGTATCCAGGACCTGTGTCATCTGCACTGGGGCGCCTGCCCATCAGGTCAGCCACGGGCCCATCTGGCAGCTGAGTGGGCCGGTGCTCCTTCAGGGAGCGGTCAGGGGCCCCCTAGGTTCCCACCTTCTCCCCCAGTGGCTTCTTCCCCCCACCCCCCGACCCCAGCTCCTGTCTCACTTCCTCAGTGTGCTGCTTCGTCCCCTCCCTGCCAGCACATGACCTTGGCAGTGCTGCCAGATCACACGGTTCTCAGGCTCAGAGTTGTCCACGGTGCTCCTCTACTTTATAGCCTCCATGGCGCCTCAGTGTCTATAGGCCGAGCCCAACCTCCTGAGCATGGTACGTAAGGCTCATCTTCATCGCACCATGAGGGCCGACAGCACCTGGTATTGCTGAGCAGGAAGGTGACGTACACTGGTGACCACACAGAGGGCCTTGGGTGACCTGGACTCCTGGGTCGCTGTCTCTGCAGACTGACATCTTCTCTGGAGCTCTCTTCATCCAGATGGCCTTGGGCTGGAACCTTTACCTCTCCACTGTGATCCTGCTGGTGGTGACGGCCGTCTATACCATCACAGGTAGGGCCGAGGGGAGGTCACGTCCGGTGCAGGTGCCAGGAGCATGGACAGGGACAGGTGGAGAGGGAAGCGCCGGATGGCAGGGACACAGAGGTCCAGGGAGGAACAGAGTGAAAACTGACCGGGTGAGTGAGAAAGAGAAACTGAAGGGAACAAAGAGAGAGGCAGATGGAGATGCAGAATCAGAGGACGAGGCCGAAAGACTCAGTGCAACAGAGCAAAGGGGAGACAGGAAGGGCAGAAACAGGAGGAAACAGAGCCAGCCGGAGAGAGCCAGGGAAGGAGATAGAGGAAGACCCACAGCAGGGAATAGGGTGGAGGTCGGGGGACTGTGACCCGGGCTAGAGTCACCACGGGCTGCTCCAGACAAGAGCCGCAAGCATGCCTTCTCCCGTCTCCTGCAGAGCCCCTCACAGAGGCCTGGGCTCCCGGGACACAGGCTCCGGCAGACTTCCTCCTGGCTGAGGTGGCCTGGAAAGTTGAGGGAGTTTAAATGGGCATTGGGGTGGGGAGGGAGGCAGGCCTCCGGGTGGAGCTAACAGCACAGGGAAGGAAAAGACTCGGGATGTTACCAAACAACAGCCAGAGGCCGTCGGGACAGAAAGAGAGGGACCTGAGGGCCTGTGGCTGTATCAGCCTCTACCTTGTGGGCGGGCCCATGGAGCACGAGGGGTGGGGAAGGCAGTGGCCAGAGGCCATCCGCTGAGGGCTCCATGTGTCCTCTGGTCTTTCCAGTGTGGCCCAGCACGGGGCGGGCACCCAGAGAGAAAGCCCCTGCTGGTGCTGATGAGCCCTCTCCTTGGGTCCCCAGGGGGCCTCACGGCCGTGATCTACACAGACACCCTGCAGACGGTGATCATGGTGGGGGGAGCCCTGGTCCTCATGTTTCTGGGTAAGGAAGAGTCCTGAACACATCCCACCCTCCCCTGTAAACTCCTCTCTGATCTTTCTCTGGCTGTCACCACCACGGTCTGATCAGAACTTTGCAGAGCACAGAGCTATGTCCCGGCTCCAGGCCAGGGCTCCCAAACAGCAGGATTCTCTCTACTCCAAAACAGGGGTCTTGAGCCTGAGTGCCACTCCATCTCTCATTCCCAAGTCCCATATGAGTTCCAAGCTCAGGGGTCCCACACACGACTGGGATCCAGCGAGCTGGGGCATGTGACAGACCCAGTGGGGCCTCAGGGCTGTTTCACTCGCAGTGGTCTCTCCCTGCAGGGTTTCAAGAGGTGGGCTGGTACCCAGGCCTGGAGCAGAGGTACAGGCAGGCCATCCCTAATGTCACAGTCCCCAACACCACCTGTCACCTCCCCCAGCCTGACGCCTTCCACATGCTCCGGGACCCTGTGAGCGGGGACATCCCTTGGCCAGGCCTCATTTTCGGGCTCACGGTGCTGGCCACGTGGTGCTGGTGCACCGACCAGGTGATGCCCTTACCAAGCTTGGCCCAGCCCACCACAAACTGGGGTGGCTTCTGCGGGAAAACTGGGCATGTGGATGCACAGAGGGCTGGGACTGGTTCGGGAACAGGTATGGGGCACCATCCCCATGCTGGGGCTCGCAGGAGCCGAGCGGAACCCGAGCAGGCCCGACTGGCGCTCCTGCACTGCTGTCTTTTCAGGTCATTGTGCAGAGGTCGCTCTCCGCCAAGAGTCTGTCCCACGCCAAGGGGGGCTCCGTGCTGGGGGGCTACCTGAAGATCCTTCCCATGTTCTTTATCGTCATGCCTGGCATGATCAGCCGGGCCCTGTACCCAGGTAAGAGCTAGTCTCCCTCTGGGCAAAGTTGGACCAGAGCAAGGGCCACACACTTTCTATTAAGAACACATGGTAAGGGCTTTCCTGGCGGCACAGTGGTTAAGAATCTGCCTGCCAATGCAGGGGACACGGGTTCGAGCCCTGGTCTGGGAAGATCCCACATGCCACGGAGCAACTGAGCCCGCGAGCCACAGCTACTGAGCCCGCGTGCCACAACTACTGAAGCCCACGCGCCTAGAGCCCGTGCTCCACAACAGAAGCCACCACAATGAGAAGTTCGCGCACCGCAATGAAGATTAGCCCCTGCTCACCCGCAACTAAAAAGAAAGCCTGCGCACAGCAATGAAGACCCAATGCAGCCAAAAATAAATAAATAAGTAAATTTATATTAAAAAAAAGAACACATAGTAAGTTCGTTAGGCTTTGTGGGCCAAACATACAGTATGTATATCAGTAGAAGAAATTTGTATCTGAATGTCATTTTAACATCCTGCTTTCTCTCTATAAAGGAAAGACCAATTGAGGCATTCATGGTGCCTTGCAAGGGTATTTGCCTTTTATTAAGATATAAGGCCTAAAACCCAGAGGAGTCTATCAGGTTTTGCAGGGTAGTATGTTGTTGAGAAGTCTACCAGACACTCCGAAATCACAGGATCCAACATCCGCCTGCCCTTTGACCCTCTGGACGCTGACTCCCGCCAGTCACCAGTGAACACTTTCCCTATGGGGTCAGAAAGCAGGTATTGGGCCAGCCAGAGAAGGCACGGGATGGTTTAGCTCTGACTGCCATCACTTCTTTTGCAGATGAAGTGGGCTGCGTGGACCCTGACGTCTGCCAAAGAATCTGCGGGGCCCGCGTGGGATGTTCCAACATTGCCTACCCCAAGCTGGTCATGGCTCTCATGCCCATGGGTAAGTCCCATCCCCGCCACACCACGCTGCACACCAGCTTTCCAGCCTCATCCACCCCCCACGGCCCAAGAGGGGTTGCATTAGGATGGTCGTAGATGGGAAGAGAAAATGAAAACATTCACCTCTGCACCCCCGTTCCTAATACACACACACACACACACACACACACACACACAAACACACACACTTTTCACAAGCATCTGTAGGGCACTACTTTGTGCCCTGGCTCTGGACATACAGAGATAAAAGGCAGGCCCCTGCTCTCGGGCTCAGTGCAGTCTGCAGGGTACCCGAGCAGAAGGCACAATACAATGGGACCTAAGGAGGCACCTGACCCACTTTGGAGGAATGTGGAGGAAGGTTTCCCAGAGGAGAGGAAATGCAGCTGAGTGCTGGGGAACATCTTAGGCAGACAAAGGCAGAGGGGCGTGGGAAATGTCATTCCGGGGATGAGGGCCCGCATGTGCAAAGGCCCAGGGATGAGAGAGTGTCAAGTCTGAACTGAAAGTCGCCAGTGTGGGCTCAGATGCGGCAGGAATGAAGACCGCCTTCGTGGGGAGGACTCGGTGGCCATGCCCCACTGTGCAGCGTGACTTTTAGTCTGAGGGCAGTGGAGGGTCACTGGGAGTTTCAGGCCAGCGTGCGTGATTGGATGTGTGCTTTAGAAGGATAACTCTGCATGAAGGGTTCAGCTTAGGGGGAGGCAGGGACATAGATCCTGAGGGATTTTCAGTGGTCAGGGCAGTAGTGGTGGCTTGGACCAGGTCAGTGTCTTTAGGGATGGACAGAAAGGGTTTAGATGATATTTGTGAGATAGAATTGGCAGGACTTGATGACTGATTGTGTTTGAGGGACAAGAAAGACAGAGGGATCCAAACAGGGCTTGCAGGTCTTGAGTTTACAATGATATTGGGACTGGGGACATAGAAAGAAAGGCAGGTTTATGGAGGGAAATTGAGTTATTCCCTCCCTCCAGTGGAACAAGAAATGAAACCAAGAAATAGTGGAGATGGGGGTGGAGGCCCAGCTATGACAGAGCAGCCACAGAGGGACTGGCTGAGGGAGGTGGGGTAGGAGGAAGGAAGGCAGAGGAAGGGGTCCAGAATAACTTGGGGGTGTCTTGTTAGAGACCAGAAACATATCATTAACCAAAGGAAGAAGCAGGGGCCCCAGAGGGAGATGCTGGCCTAGATTTGGGACACTTTGAGTCATCCAGGGAGGCATGCAGGAGGCCGTTAAATATTTGGACTGAGGGGAAAGAGGACTGAGGTGGGGCTGGCCAGGGAGTTGTGTTTCTAGATGCTTCCTCATCAGAATCATAGAGACTTGAGATATCAGTGGGCCCCACCCTCCCTTGTTACAGGTTGAAAACAGGCCCAGAAAGGGTCAGAACTAGTCCAAAGATCACACGGCTAGTTCCTTGCAGAACCAGGAAACAAACCCATGGTTTCTGCCTGTGGAAAACAGTATGGAGGTTTCTCAAAAAGCTAAAAGTATAACTACCATAAGACCCAGCAATGCCACTCCTGTGAGTATATATCCAAAAAAACCCAAAAACACTAATTCAAAAAGATACATGCACCCCAATGTTTATAGCAGCACTATTTATAATTGCCAAGATATGGAAGTAACCTAAGTACCCATCAACAGATGAATGAATAAAGATGGTGTATATATACATGATGGAATATTACTCAGCCATAAAAAAGAATGAAATTTTGCTATTTGCAGCCACGTGGATGGACTTGGAGGGCATTATGTTAAATGAAATAAGTCAGACAGAGAACGACAAATACTATATAATATCACTTATATGTGGACTCTAAAAAAACCCAACAAACTAGTGAATATAACAAAAAAAGAAGCAGACTCAGATATAGGGAAGGAACTAGTGGTTCCTGGAGGGGGAGGACATTGGGGTGGGGGGCTGAGAGGCACAAATTATTGGGTGTAAGATAGGCTCAAAGATGTACTGTACAAAATGGGGAATATGGCCAACGTGTTGTAGTAACTGAAAATGGAGAGTAACCTTTAAAATTTGTATTAAAAATTAAAATAAATAAATAATTAATTAAAATAAAACCTTCAAAAAATTCCGGGGATTCTGCCTCCCAAGCTGGGGCTGTAGCCTGGTATCATAGCGTCAATGAAAGAGGTACAAAACACCGAAAACAACCACTCAATAATTAATAGTCACCCTCCTCCCTACCAGGGCCCACTAACCAAGTGTCTACAAGGTTTAAAACCCAGACCAAGATGTCCAGTCTGCAGAGAACCTAACAGATCAGCTAGTCTCACATCCCTGTGAGATGAGGAAACTGAGGCTCAGGGAGGACAGATGACTCGGCCAAGGCCACAGGGGGCGGCAGAGGTAGAGTGTGGCCAGAACCCAGCCTCTAGTGCTATGGGTCTCCAGGATTCCTGGTTGGGCACCTCATTCAACACCGTCCCCATCCCTTCCCCTCCCCTAAACTCGTGATTCTGCTGGATGCTGGCAGCCTCCATGGTTGCTGGCAGAGCTGGCCTTCACGGGCCAGCTGTCCACAGAGACCTCATCTCTCCCCAGGTCTGCGGGGCCTGATGATAGCAGTGATCATGGCCGCCCTCATGAGCTCACTCACCTCCATCTTCAACAGCAGCAGTACGCTGTTTGCCATTGACGTGTGGCAGCACTTCCGCAGACAGGCAACAGAGCAGGAGCTGATGGTGGTGGGCAGGTGCGCTGGCCCATCCTTCCAGAGCACCCCTTCCCTGTAGGCAAAACCCCTCTCCCCTCTCCTCCCTGCCCTGGGTTACCCGAAGGAGATGCGGCTGGGTCTGGGCCCTGCACTGGCAGCCAGAGCCCCTGGTTCCCAGCGCCAACTTTCTGCATGACCTCAGGTGAGTTCCTCCCCAGCTCTGGACCACTCCCCTCCCTCCAGAATAAGGAGAAAAAAATCTCTTCCCTGCCTGTTCAACTTTATCTTGGAACTGATCAAGAGCGTAAATGAGAGAAGCTGACAAAGCATTGAATCAATGAAAGATGAACTGTATAGATGAAAAGAAGTTAGCCAGCAGCTCACCCCCAATGTCCTCCAGACCAGCTCTGGATGTCATCCCAGGATAACAGAAAGACTCCTTCAGTCTCACCCCGAGCATGCGTCCTGCATCATACCTTTGTGCTGGTGACACAGGGGCGACTTATATGGTCCTGCCCTGAGGGTGCACACAGTTTAATGAGAAAATCAGAAACATGTAATGCAGTGAGGGGCCCGCATCGATGGAGGTGTTCATAGGAAGGTTGTCTCCAAAGGATGCAGGGCTTTGAACACTCAGCAGAAAATTTTGAACTTTATCTCATAGGTATTCATTTTATGCCTTTCAAAATATAACTTCGTGGCTATTTTTTCTTTTTCTCCCTGGGTTAGGCATTTATAGTTTGCACAAAGTTAAGAGGCCCTTTCTGAAATCTTTGCTTCATAATTTAAGGCTCTGTAACTCAGGTTTCTGGACTAACGTGTTCATTCTCTACTTGAGTTTAGATAACTTGCTCTTTTCCATCTCCCTGCCTTTGCATTCACTGCTCCTTCCATCACAAGGCCTTCTGCCCACGGCTGCCATGGATCCCTACGGCCCGCTCATCTGTGCATCCCAGCCCTATGCACAGGGACTGACCATCAGAGGATCTGAGCACAGGACAGATTATACAGAGAGGTGGGGGATAAGAGGGGAGTGGGGGATAAGAACGGCAGGTAGCTCCTGCAGTGTGGCTGCTTCTCTAGTGTGGCCTGAGAGAGAGAAAATGGGAGGGAAAGGAGAGAAGAGGACAGGTGTGCAGAATCCTTTTATCTCTTTGCTCACCTACCAAGTCTTACCGCACCTGATTTCATCAGTCAGTGAGGTTTGGGCACCATCTCCTGGCAATATGCATCATTGCACCCAACACACCCAAGAAAAGTTTTTCAACCAGAGGCCATTTACTCAGGTGGGTGGTGAAGGGGAAAGGAATGGATTTCTTCCCAAAAGCAGATGGGCTACACACCTTCAAAGGGATCTAATTTAAAACTGTGGGTTTTTTGTTTTTTTGGATTCTGTAATTCTGATATTCTGGGATTTTAAGAGTCTAACTTTCTGGAATCTTTGCATTTGTGATCCTGTCTTCTCTGATTCAGCGACCATGCGTTCCCCTCCTTTCTCCCTTCCTGGTTCCCGTACATCACCTTCACCTGCCCCCCTGCCATGCCGCTCTGAGCGCTCTTCACAGTGCCCTGTTCTCTCCTGGCAGAGTGTTTGTGGTGTTCCTCGTCGTCATCAGCATCCTCTGGGTCCCCATCATCCAAAGTTCCAACAGCGGGCAGCTCTTCGACTACATCCAGTCTGTCACCAGCTACCTGGCCCCACCCATCACTGCCCTCTTCCTGCTGGCCATCTTCTGCAAGAGGGTCACAGAGCCTGTGAGTGCAGCAGTGCACCTGTCTCTCCCAGAACACCAGAGGGTCAGGAGAGCTAGTCTGTCCATAACCTGGACTGGCCCCTCCAGGCTTCTGTCTCCCCAGCCATAGCATCGGGTCTAGATTTATTCATTCACTCAGCAAACATTAATCATTCCCACTATGGAGGGCTCCAGGGATGCAGTGGTTTACAAAGTTCACATAGGTCTGCCATCACTGGGCCAGCGGGAGGAAAGAGGTTTCGATATGCAATAAGAGCAAAGTATGATAGCTGCCATGAGAGCAAAGAGCAGGAACACATAACCCATGGGATGCCTGGGAGGGGGGGTCACAAAGGGACTTCTGAGCTGAGATCTGAAGGATTAATGGGAGAGGGAAGCGTCTTCCCGACATGAGGAACAGTGTGTTTAAAAGCCCAAGCAGACGGGAAGCTCTCTAACACGGTAGGGCTCTACATGTCGGCAAAATAACAGCAAAGAGGATGAAGAAATAAACTGTGAGCACAGGGGTGCCTGCACATGTGCCACTTATGAAACTGCACTGAAATGTAACAGACCCTGGGAGGTTCCAGGAGGGTAACGTTGGTCACTCCCCAGGATAGCCTAGAAAAGACAGGTCCAAATTGCTGGCTGTACCTTGGGGAGGTAAGGAGAATCATAGACATGATTGTACAGGGGCCACATGAGAGCCCAGGGTCACCATAAGGGAGATCATAGAAGCCCCTCCCCCAGTGGAGTAGTTAAGCCAGGCCTCTGCTGGGTCTACTGTTTGCAGAGCTCGAGCCCCCCTGCTGATAACTAGAGTGCACGGCAGGACTCGGTTGATTTCTGGAGGTTTCGATTCATTCCAGAATTTTTGAAAATATAAGCCTTCTGACCCTTATACATGGGGAACAGGTAGAGGTTAGGGTCCAACAGTGCTACAGAGAAGATACAAGAGGTGCCAGAGCTTTTCTTTAAAAATAAAAAAGGAAGAGTTCTAATTCTGATTTCTGATTTATCATAACAGAAAGCTGGGGAGGAAGATCCTGGCTTTCCCTGCTGATTACAAAAGCAAATTCCATTCTAGTTGAATATTAAGCACCTACCCTTAGTACTTATTAATTTGCTTATCATTGCATGTGAGTGAGGTCGAGTCACTGCTTCAGTCATTGTTCTGCAGTGGAGCCTAGTCTGACTCTGGAACCCATGCCTTTTCCAATAAACTGCTCTGCCTGCCTTTAGGTTAAGACAAAGCCTCGGCATCCATGGGGAACTTACTCAG